CTAAGTAATTAGGAATACAGGTGCACACCACCATGCCCTGCTGATTTTTAAGTTTTTTGTAGCGATGGGGTCTCACTATGTTACCCAAGCTGGTCTAATTCCTGGCTGCAAACAATCCTCCCACCTTAGCCTCCCAAAGTGCTGAGATCTGACCAGCCACTGCACCTGGTCAAGAGATGTTTTTTAGTCCACTTTGCCGGTCTCTGCTTTTCAGTTAGCGTGTTGAGTTCATTTACATTTAGTGAAATTACTGCTCATATAGGATTGATGTCTGCCATTTGCCACTTGTTTTCTGTCATATGCTTTTTTTCCCTTCTTAGTCCTCCATTATTGCTTTCTTTTGTGTTATTGTGTTAATTTCTACTATAGCATTTTAATTCCTTTATTTCTTTTACTGTAGGATTTTTTTTTTTTGAGACAGAGTCTCGCTTTGTTGCCCAGGCTAGAGTGAGTGCTGTGGCGTCAGCCTAGCTCACAGCAACCTCCAACTCCTGGGCTCAAGCAATCCTTCTGCCTCAGCCTTCCCAGTAGCTGGGACTACAGGCATGCACCACCATGCCCGGCTAATTTTTTTCTATATATATTAGTTGGCCAATGAATTTATTTCTATTTATAGTAGATACAGGGTCTTGCTCTTGCTCAGGCTGGTTTCGAACTCCTGACCTCGAGCAATCTGCCCACCTCAGCCTCCCATCGTGCTAGGATTACAGGCGTGAGCCACCGTGCCCAGCCGAAGATTAATGTTTTAATAAAATTTGGGAAATTTTTGGCCCTTATTTCTGCAAATATTCTTCTCCTTTCTCTCTTTTTGCACCTTCTGGGATTTTCCTTATGGTTGATTTGCTGGGTATTTTGGTATGGTTGCTAGTGTCTCACAGGTCTCTGAAACTCTTCATTTTTCTTTCTGTTCCTCGAACTAGATGATCTCAATTGACCTGTCTTTGAATTCACTGATTCTTTCTTCTGTTAGTTCAAATATGCTGTTTGATTTGAATTCAACTCCAGAATTTGTTTGGTTTTCTTTAATAATGTCTAACTCCTTAATGATAGTCTGTTTAGTGAAATATCATTCACATAATTTCCCTTAATTCTTCAGACATGGTTTCCATTAGTTTCTTGAATATATTTATAATAGCTAATATTTAAAGTATTTGCCTAATAAAGACTGGGCTTCCTCAGGGATAGTTTCTATTGACTATTTTTTAAAAATTGCTGTGTATGGCCGGGCGCGGTGGCTCACGCCTGTAATCCTAGCACTCTGGGAGGCCGAGCCGGGCGGATTGCTCAAGGTCAGGAGTTCAAAACCAGCCTGAGCGAGACCCCGTCTCTACCATAAAAATAGAAAGAAATTAATTGGCCAACTAATATATATAATATAAAAATCAGCCGGGCATGGTGGCTCGTGCCTGTAGTCCCAGCTACTCGGGAGGCTGAGGCAGGAGGATTGCTTGAGCCCAGGAGTTTGAGGTTGCTGTGAGCTAGGCTGACGCCATGGCACTCACTCTAGCCTAGGCAAGAAAGCGAGACTCTGTCTCAAAAAAAAAAAAAAAAAATTGCTGTGTATGGGCCGTATAATTCTTTCTTTGCATGTCTTATACTTTGTTGAAAATTGAACATTTTAAATAATGTTTCAACTCTGGCATTCAGATTACCTCTTCCCCAGGGTTTGTTGCTATTTGTTGTTGTTGGTTCTGTGACTTTCCTGGACTGATTATGTAAATTCTGTATTCTCTATCATGTTTGATTACTGAAGTGTCTATTCACCCTAGTGGTAAGCTAATGACTGGGCAGAGATTTCCTTTAATGCTTTGAGCCAATTAGTTTTCTAGTTACTGTTGTGCATGTCTGTGTGTCAAGCTGCGTTTTCAGCAGGCAGTTTACACCTGTGCCCTAACCTTCACATCCTGCACGAGTAGAGCCTCAAGACTGGTGAGAGCTTAGGGTCTTCTCAGGTCTCTCCTGGGCACACACACAGCCCTGCACATGGACTTCTAGATTCCCAGGGATATGGTCAGGTTTATCAGGGCTCCCATGGACACCTTCCTCAATTTTTCCTTTTCAGCTTTTTGCTCAGCTTCTTGTTAGCCCCAGCTGGTAACCCTTGCCCCAGGCAGCCACAGTGCTGACCGTCCACCATGGCTGGCCCTGTAGGTCGGGCTGTTGCAGAGTGAGCTCTGAATCAGGTGCCGAGAACAGACCTTTCCAGTGAGCTGCTGGGTAAGTCAAATAGTGGCAGTTTCTGGAAATTTGGGCGAGCTGTAAATCCATTCTGCCCCCTCCTGTGGTTACCAGGCTGCTGTTCTTCACAGACACTGTAATAAGGGGGTGAGTGACCAGGCCGGGGGTAAAGAGACTGCAGTGAGAAAGAGTGAACTGGAGATAGGAATGTTCCTCTTGAACAGAGTCCTTACTTCATACGAAGCAGTTTGTCAACATTAAGTCATTTGATTTTCATAACAACCCTAAGGCTTGGTGCCATTTCACCCACTTCTACAGAAAAAGAAACAGAAGCAAAACAGGACAAATATTAGTAACGTGCTCAGGGTCCCACAGCCCGTGAGTGGTGGCGTTAGGATTTCAGCCCAGGCAGTCTGGCTCATCCTGAACCCCCACACCGAGAGCAGGGAAACTTAATGCAGAGTGATCTAGAAGCAGCGCCGAAAAGCGGGAAGGGCACCTGTCCCACCTCTAAGCCCACTGACCTCTTGGGGGTGAAGGCAGCCACTCTCCAAAGGGCGGCAAGGGAAGGCACACACTTGGGGAAACCAGATTTAAAACTGGGAAGTCTGTTTTAATTTGTAAATATGTAGGCAGGGAAACAAAATTATCTTCTTGTGCTGGCTTGTTACTTGTTGCAATGACTAACAGCTTTCAGAAACATGTTGATAGAGAAGGCACTGGTTGTAATAGTTGTATCTTTTGCTACTAAGATGACTGTTTAATTTTGACTTGATGACAGATAACATTAAGAAAGTATTCTTTGCAAAATTATCAGTTTGCTAAAGCTACATGTTTAATTTTATCAAATGTTGTTGTTAGGTATCTATCAGAACTTCTTCTCCTTTGGGTTTATTGTAGTGATTTCTGAACACAAAACATTTTCTGAAATCATTCTTGCATTTTTGGGATAAAAATACCTTGGTTATTGTATATGTTCAATATATGACTAGAATTGATTTGGTCTTAATTTAGGAATTTCCTGATCTTTGAGCGAGACTGGTCTGCTGTTTTTTTTTTTTTCTTGATACCTATTTTCTAAATTAGAATAATGTAACTTTAGTTTATCAAAGCTAAAAGGATGATGCTTAAAAGCTAATTACGGCGACTAAACCTCGCTGTGAGGAGGGTTGTGGGGTGGACAGGAACCGGGTGGCTGGAGCGGTGTCTCTGCTGCGGGACTCTTGCATCCAGGGCTCAGTGCGAGTCTTTTGTAACTAGCTTTCTTCATGTGAGCCACGGAACACAGAAAATGGTTCAAGTAATTTTCTCAATTCTGTCAAGGATGGCACATAACTAGTATCATTTTAGATGTATGGAACTTGATTAGACACAGAGGATAATGTATTCATTTCCTATTGCCGCGGTGGTAAGCTACCTCTAGCTCAGCAGCTTACAGCAACACACATTTCTGGCCAGAGTCCAAAATCGTTTTCAATGAACTAAAGTCAAGGTGTCAGCAGGGCTGGTTCTTCTTGGAGGCTGATGGGAGAATCTGCTTCTTTGCCTTTCTTAGGTCTGCGCGGTTGCCTGTGCTCCTTGGCTTAGGGCCCCTTCCTACATCTCCAAAGTACATCACTCTGACCTGCAGCCAGTAACACACTGCTTTCTCACCTGTAGTCCAGCCTCTCTCTCCCTCTCATTATTATTATACTTGTGCTTACATTTAGGACTGGCCAGGATAGTCTCCCTATCATCTCCGGATCCCTACTTTTAATTTCATCTGCAAAGTCCCCTTTGCCATATAAGGTAACCTTCATTCACAGGTTCCAGGAATTAGGACCTGGATATCTTTGAGGGCCACTCTTTAGCCTACCACAGATACCTAAGGATCTTAGGGTTTCTCTTCTGAACCTTGGGTGAGAAAGGCTGTGTAGACGGTGTGCTCATCAGATCTGCAGATGGCACAAAACTGTGCCACATGACTGAATCAAGACTCAGTATGATCCTGACTGAATGACAGAACTCCACAGTGTGTAACTTTGCATCCTGTGGGGAATGCTTGCAGGAGGATTCAAGACATCAGCTAGCAATAAGAGTGTGATTGGGCTTTTACTGGAAATAGCATCTGAAGTGAAAATGAGAGGCCTGTCCTTCCAACTCCGGTTGGACACTACTGGGAGTAGATCTTGACACTGTGAGTGAGCCCGGCTGGCCTTCCGCACAGGCGTGCACACCTGGAGAGCAATCAGGACTGAGGGCGAGGCCAAGATGGTGCCCAGGACGGACACAGAGGAGAGGCAGGTACAGGTTTCTGCATAATGGGCAGCTCAGAGGTGGAGGTGCACAGTGGGGACTTCCCTGTCTGCCCTCCCCACACAGCCCTGCCAGTTAGTCATTCGGCCTGGGCTCTCGCAGCAGACAGTGGGTACTGGATTACATCATTTACAGTTCCTGTCAAACCTTGAGACTCCAATCAACTACTTCAAATTTTAGTTGAGGAAACCGAGGCTCAGAGAGAGGTCAGTTGCACGGATTTATAAAGTTAAGAGCAGAGTCAAATTTTAAATCTGGTCATCTTCAGATATTAATACTCACTGATAACTCAGTTTTTTGAACCACATGCAAGGAAATAAATTCACAGGTAACATTTAATACTTATTTTTTAATACCCAAACCATACATTTTCAAGGCTCTGAAAATCTTTTTCAACAGAGCTGCTATTGAACCTGAAAGGCCTGTCAGAGGATGAAATTCAGGGAATCAGAAACAGCAAATCAGTCCAAATTTCATGTGAAACAATTTTCATAAATTCAAAATCCTAGACACTAAGTTACCTTTAAAGAACATATTTTCTTATTGATTCACAGTTGATTTGGCTGAGGACCTATGTTTCTATGGCATTTAAATCTTGAAAATTGTTAATGAACGTAAGATCCCAGGGAGCTAACGCTGCATTTCACAATCTCTGAGCACTGATCAATGTTCTTCTTGATCCTGTAGAATTTCTCCACGTATTCAGAACGTCCTAAAAGCTCCACAAAATCTTCATCATGAGTGATCACCAGAAGCTGGAAGTTACGCTGCTGTGAGCGACTTTTTATTATCCTGAAACAGTATATTTAGAACATTTTATTACTAAAGAACATAACCCTTTCTTTTATTTGGAAAAACACTGAGAACCTTGTTAGACACATGAACTTATGTTGTGACAACCAGGCTTTTCCTGTGTCAGTGGTGGGGGAGGGGTGGGGTGGCCCCAGGCCAGCCACATAGAAGGCCCCTCTCTAGACAGTGTGGTTACAGGGCCTGATTCCTCACCTAGGTCTGGCTCAGGGACTGCTAAGAATACAAGAACCAGTTTCTTTTAGATCAGAAATTCTTACTAAAGCAAGCAGTAGAGGTTTCCTTAAACTGCTGAAGGTTAGGAGTCTAACATTCCTTTGCCTGAATTTTCCTGACCTGTTACTAGTTTTCTCTTGAAGAAAATTTTAGAATAAAGACCAACCACAGGTAAGGGGAATAACACTGCCTTCTTAAGAGCTGGGTCTACTTAGAATTCTGCCACCACCACTCACTAGATGCATCACTACTTGTGACACTCCGGGGGCCCAAGTGGGTGTACTGGAAACATTTTTGCTCATTATTTATATGGTGAGGTAACCAGCTATGAAACTGAGACCTGAAAGACTTTTTCTTTTAACTACCCACTTATTTACCCCTTTCCTAGAGCTGGATGCACTTGACGTGTCAAAAGCACTAGCCCTTGCCTGCTGTTCCAAGAGGATGACTGAGAGGCAGCTGGAGAAAGGAGGCCCAGTGCCGCTCACTCCTCCTGCCTCAGACAAAGTGCCCTTCCTCTGTTAGCATAGTCCTTCAGCTTGGAGTCACAGGTGAATGTGGTAAAAAGGTGTGTGCAATGTTATCCTCTCTGGATTCTACTTAATCACTAACATGCTTTTAAGTGAGTGCTCTGTCATTCTCAGCAGGGCACGCCGACTCCTGTGCACGACATGTGGTTCCCCTCACGGGTTTACAGGAAAACCAGACCCAGGCAGGAACCCCACAGTGACTGTCCCTGTGAACACTCGGGTGTGTCTGGGGCTGCTGGTCACCTGGTTCCTTTTCAGGGCTCTGAAGAATCACCAGCAAAAGGTAAAGCCCAGGGCCTGGCACCAACCAGCTTGTCCAAGGACACAGCTAGAGAGTGCATCACCACATAATTCTCAAAAACTAGCACGACCTACCCTCACCCATGTGACACTTACTCAACCAGAGCATGGGCAAGAGATTCGATGTTTTCTCGGTCAAGGTTTGTTGTTGGCTCGTCCAAGGCGAGGATGCCACAGTTGAGGCAGAATGTCTCGGCCAGGGCCAGGCGGATGATGAGTGAGGCCAATACCTGGAAAAAGGCCTCAGTGAGATGCGGGCAGGTCAGAGACCTGGCCCGATCTCTTTAGAAGGGAAAGGTGGGGACATGGCCCAGGGGTCACGTGTTTGGTAAATCACTGCTCCGGGAGAGCCTAGTGCCCCTCACACCCGTCCAGAAGGTGAACTATTGGGTGCGTTTTCTCAGCTCACCATTTCCAATGAAATAAAAAGCTCAAAACCTCACTGATTCTCACACACACAAATTCACATCAGCTGTAAAAAACTTGAAATCACAGGCTTGAAACAGATTACTCTTCATCTGAGTAAAGGTATAAAGATTAATAACCTTAATTCTTCACCTGGCTATTTTATTTTCCTGATAAGGAAATGAGATTTGTTAGGTTTCGACACATTTTTCCAGAGCCTTACATACACTTTCTCCCTTAGAGTCATCTTAAATCTCCCCAAGTTTGTGTGTATAATTTCAAGGGGAGGAGGGAGAATAAAAAACATCATGGGTCAAAGACTCAGGGGTCTAGAAGTGTGGCTTTGAGCTTACCTGTGGGAGATCCAAGTCACTGGAACTCTTAGGCACTTTCATAGTTACTAGAAATCTAACACTAAAAACCCTTAGAACCAACTGAAGCCATGTGAGGGGACAAGGGACACAGAATTAAGAGTGGAAGACTATTCTGTGAAGCAGAAACTGTGTGAGCTATAAATCCCCGGTCCCTGAATTTGTGAGTGGGAGGGCATCAGAGAGCGACTTGTTGTTAGAACAGTTTACACCTTCTCATGATGCCCGGGACAGGCGAGCCAGAGCGACAGTGTGGCCCTCTGAGGGACATGTACTTCCTTCCTGCGTTTGCATCCCTCTGCCATCAAGGCCCACGCACAGGCTGGCTTCTGGGGACTCAACACACGCTGGGGTTGGGCAGGGTAGAGGCTCACCTCCACCAAACCATTCATTTGTCTTATTTATTTGTTCCACACCAAGGAAACAATTACTGCTAATTTTCATAACTTAGATTACCTATAGGAAATCTACTTTTGCTTAGAAAGTATTTTTCGAACTCCTGACCTTGAGCAATCCACCCGCCTCGGCCTCCCAAGAGCTAGGATTACAGGCGTGAGCCACAGCGCCCGGCCAGAAAGTATTTTTAATCGAAAGAGGTCATGTTCCAATCTTTGTATTTTCTCATTTATAACTCCCGCTAAAACCCACCAAAGTAGGGATACTGATTATACATGACAAGTTTGTCACTTCTGTAGACTATGATGTAGATAGTAATCTGCAGAGCCTTAAAATTGGTATCAGCTGTCTAAGCTGACATGTGCATACAGGCATGGTGTGTGTTTAAGCAAAAATTGAAAACTATGAAAACAGATAATGTGGGTGTCCATTTTTAAGATTTTATAGGTTATTAACCCAGGGACCCAGAAGTGTTATCAAATGTGATCATCTGCTTTAGTCTGAAAAGAGGAAGCTCAGGAATCTGTCATCTTTGGTACAGGCCTGTGCACTTGCTGCTCAGAGATGCAGGTCCTGTTTTCCTGACTCTAACACTTCACTGCTCTTTCTGATCGTGTTCCATGCTCCACACCCAACATAGGCCATCATCCCACAGCCTCACCTGGAGCCAGCCGGCCTGCCCCAGCAGCAAATCCTTGTGGGTGTGGTGACAGGACAGAGGCACTGTGGGTAGCGAGGCCATCAACTCCAGCAGACCCTTCCCTCAGATGGGCCGCAGTCCCCTGAGGGCCACTTTCTCAATGAGAGTCTATTAGACTGTTTCACCTGGCTCAACCTGGGACTGAGCTTCTAATGCCATTATGTCACTGATACTGAAATATACCCCCACCCCATTTTGACTTCTCTGAAATACAGAATGCATCTTATGGTTATAAATTGCATTCTTTCATTCCTGGTGGCACATAAAATAGCGGTGTTTTATAATTGATACCGTGACCTTATTCTACATTTAGCATATGCTGTGAGAATGCTCCAGGCCCTTCTCTTAACCACTTCGGTACCAGCGTCGACTGTAGTCGACAGCCACAGATGAACGCGCACGTCGACTTTAGCAGACAGCCGTGATATATGACTTTTCTAATTTTTCATTTATCAAAATAAAATTGTGAACATTTAAAAATAACGTAATGAAAACATATATGTATATGTTACCTATTCTGATTTACATGACAAGTAAAGCTGCCTATAAAGTAAAACAAGCTTTCAGTGCTTTGAAGCTTTCCTCATCACAGAAGAGCAAGACGGAGCTGTTGTCAACGCACAGCACACGCTACCGTGCGGACTGTGAGTGCCGGCTGAGGCAAGGGTTTCATGGCCGGTGAGCGCCGTACCGAAGTGGTTAAAAGCCCACTGTGTTGCAGGAAAGGGTGGCTGGCATTAGGAGAGTGTCACGATGGCAGCTGAGCCTAAGTCATTTCACCTGGCAACAGGATGCTTCCACCCTTCAAAGGTAGGGAGGGGATACAAGGAAGGGCAGCCTGGGGTGCCCACCATACTGCTGGTCTCCCTCTCTCAGCTCTGTGTGAGGGCTCCCTGGCCTCTGGAGATACTCACCTTCTGCCCAGCGCTGCACCGTCCCCGCATGTCCAAGGCCGTGTCTCCCTTCAGCATCACCACTCGGTAGTTGTAATTCCTCCTCTTATCAGAAGCTGATACATTTTCATCGGCATCAGACCGAATCTCTATGTATTCAATATCTGACACAGAAAAAGAATATTTCAGAGGAACCTATACTCTGCAGCCTTTTGTCATTTACGAACACTGTCGAGTGAGCCTAGAGACGGTGCGTGAGGCTGACATGACCAGGGGAACCGTGGCTGGTCTGGAACCTGCCTCTCCAGCTGGGGAGCATCGGGAGCCTGCTGGTCTGGCCAGAAGCCACCCAGATGCCCCAACCCTCAGCCTCAACTCTGTCTTAGTTCCTCTATTAAGAGTTTCCTCCATATGGTTTTCTTCTTATCACATTTCGGTTTATCCCTATCTGCATTTCAACAGAACCTATTAAGTCATCAGCTAAACACAATGTCTACTGCAGCCAAATATGTAAGTCCTGTCAAGCTTTGGAATAGAAAATTTTACATTTTCTTCTCGCTACAAGATGTTAAGATAAGAATTCTTAGAAAATCTCAAAGATGCTCAGAAAGGGGTACAGGGAGGTAACACCGGCATGACGACAGGGTCTGGAAAGGGCATTTGGGACACACCAGGTCGATTACCTTGTCCACGGTAGGTGCTCCGCCAAAGGTCACGAATAATTTTATTGATTTCTTCCATTTTCATACTGTGAAATTTCATTATTGCTCTGGAAAAGAAAACCATTGGCACTTTATATATACATGAATGGACGCAGGCAGCTGGAGGGTGCGAGCGCACAGTTAGCCAAGGGGCCCTCGGTCTGTAGGGAAGTGACTCTCTGGGACTGCCACCTTGTCCCTTTTCTGTTGCTATTATGGTTTTACCAAAAGCCAGCCTTTCATGCTGCTTTTATTCCCCACATATGTGAGATTTTCACCAACAGTGAGCTTTGGTTCAGAGAGGGTGATCTAGAGGTGAGGGCTGAACTGAAATTTTACTTTGCCTTCCTGGTCACGGATTCCAAACACTTGCATTAACTTCCACTTGGTCCTGGCATGCCCCTGCCCCCAGCTGTCTTTTAAAGTAGTATTTTCTTAACACTAAAAAGAAGAAATGTTTGTAAAAACAAAAGTAGCCTATCAAAATCTAACATGTTTCTACTACAGTCACCTTTCACCAAAAAGTTCTTAGGTTCGTTGGAAGCGAGTTTGTGAACTAATAAATGTTGCGCCAGAGATAAAAAGACAAACATCACTGCCACCACCAAACAAAGGATGTGAGGTGACTTAACTTCCATTTGCAAGCCTCTTATCTGATATATACAAAAAAAGAAACTGAACGTAATGCTACTGCACTGCCTCTGTAGAATCATTTCATGATCTTTGGGTTCACCAGCAAAGGAGAAAGAAATGACTCAACATAAATACATTTTAAATATCAGATGAATGATTGTGAAGTAGTGAAGACTGGAAAAAACCATATTCTGCTAGCTGATGAGAATGCAACAAGTCTCCATTTTCTACTTTATACATGTATCTCAGCCTAACATTTTATGCTCCTTTTAAAAAGAGACAAGAACATCTAAGTATTTCATTAAAAAAAAAAACCCTGAAAAAAACAAACCAAACCTCACAGAATGTTATTGGGGCCAATCATGTAAAGACTGCTTTTCCATAGCTTTATATATTATGATCCTGATTTTTCAATGACTTTTTAGAAAAGTTATTTTCCATTTAAGTTAAAAACCTTCAATAAGTAACACAAACAAGCCCAATGTGGAGAATAAGCTCCAGGTAGGACAGAGGTGTCCAAGGTGTGTACAGTCTCTATCTTGGTTCCTGGTACAGGCGGTGGCATATCCTGGCCTGTGGGAAGGTCTGCTGAGACACAACAATGCCAAGTAATCTCATTTAATCCTTCTAACAATACTGGGAGTTAGATTTTGTTATCTCCATTCACCATTAACAAAACAGATCGGATGAAATTAGTAATGATCAAGACTGGAGAAAAGTGGCTAGGACATTAACTTGAATATGACTGTTAAAACTAGAACGCAGCCAAAATTCCATCTGTTACAGCAAATCTTCAAGGTACACCTAGTATATGAAGTATTACGTAGCACGGAGAAGCATAAAAAGATAAAAAATAAGTACAGGCTATTTTGCTTATGAATATAAACATTCTAGATAAAAACAAATTTAGTAAGAATTATCAAACAAATTATCAAACAAATTATCAAATAGTGCTTATCCCAAGAAAGAATAGCAAAACAGAAAAAAAAGATAATTTATTGCATTAATGGATTAAAAGAAAAAAAATGATTATCTCAATAGACATCACAAAAGCATTTGATAAAAAATACTGAATTTTGATAAAAATCTTCAGTAAGTGAAAAAGAGAATTTTTTTCTTTTATTTTGAGATAGAGTCTTGCTCTGCTGCCTGGGCTGCAGTGTAATGGTGTGACCATTACTCACTGTGACCTTAAACTCCTGGGCACAAGCCATCCTTCTGCCTCAGCCTCACCAAAATCACGTGCCACCACACCTGGTTAATTTTTTTTTTTGAGACAGAGTTTCGCTTTGTTGTTGCCCAGGCTAGAGTGAGTGCCGTGGCGTCAGCCTAGCTCACAGCAACCTCCAACTTCTGGGCTCAAGCAATCCTGCTGCCTCAGCCTCCTGAGTAGCTGCGGCTACAGGCATGCGCCACCATGCCCGGCTAATTTTATATATATATATTAGTTGGCCAATTAATTTTCTATTTATAGTAGAGACGGGGTCTCACTCTTGCTCAGGCTGGTTTCTAACTCCTGACCTGGAGCAATCCTCCCGCCTCGGCCTCCCAGAGTGCTAGGATTACAGGCGCGAGCCACCGTGCCTGGCCTCACACCTGGTTAATTTTTAAAAATTTTTTTGTAGAGACAAGGTCTCACTATGTTGACCATGCTGGTATCAAACTCCTGGCCTCAACAATCCTCCTGCCTTGGCCTCTTAAAAGTCCTGGGATTACAGGTGTGGGCCTCTGTGCCTGCCCTAGAAATTTTCTTAATCTGACAAAATGGCTCTCTCCGACAGCCACAGCAAGCATCAAATTTAATTTAAAATATATAAAAGTGTTACTCCTAAAGCTAAGAACAAAAGAAAGATGCCTCCTACTATGGTTACTCTAAAATAATGTCCTGGAAACCCCTAATTCAGTAGGGCAATAAAAAGAAATGAAGAATAAATGAAAAAAGAAAAATTCACCATTGATTTTGTACAAAAAATATAATTGTACACTTAGAAAATAACCTGAAAAATTAAAACTACTAAGGTGGTCAGAAATAAATATATAAAAAATATTTTATTGTCTAACAGCCAATTCCAATAAGAAAGATAGTAGAAAAAAAGGATCCTATTCACAGTGGCAATAAAAACTATAAAATGTCTAGGAAGAAATCTAACAAAAAGGTACAGGTTCTAGAGGAAAAAGCTACAAAACTTTATAAAGGAAGAAAAAGAAATGATTAAATAGACACATTCTAAAGGGTCCAAAATGGTAGATTCGCTATTCCTAAAATGTCTATTCTCCCCACATAATCCATAAATCCAAATAAAAATCTCAATAAGATTTACAAAAATGTTTAAATTTCATATAGAAGAGATAATGCAAAATAATACAATCCTGGTACTGGGAAAGGAATAAATAAAAAAAAGTTGGTACAACAGAGAAAAATCCAGAAATAAACCTAAATACATACAGAACATTAATTTATGACATTTCAAATGAACTGGAAAAGTTTCAATAGAGGTGAAAAGGAGAAAAAAATTAAAATGGTATCACTATCCTTTATCAAACCCCAAAATAAAATCTAAATAAATGAAAGGATTAAAAGTTAAAATAAAACTATCAGAAGAAAACATTTTTATAGTTGTAAAATTGGGAAGGCCTTTCTAATTAAGGCACAGAGTTGAGAAGCCATAAATAAAAAGACTAAAGATTTGCCTACTTAAAAATTAAAAGTCACAAATGATACTATAAAGAAAGTTAAAGGACAAGTGATAAACTATGAATAGGTACTTGCAATGTATGTGAAAGGATTAATATCTAGAATCTATAAAAAAAAAGTAATACAAATCAAGAAAAAGACAATCTAGTAGAAAAATCAGCAAAAAGATATGAATAGGCAATTCTCACAGAAGAGATACAAATAACCAACATATGGAAAGACACTGAACCTCACTAGTAAACAGGGAAATGGCAAAGTGAGAGCATTTTTGTGCAACAGATAGGCAAAACTTAAAATGGTCAATAACAAAATGCAGACATGGAAATGGGCAGTTTCATATGCTATTGGTGGAAACATAAATTTTATACATGTTTTTGGGAGGCAACATGGCACTAACAAGTTAAAAATGTACACAACCTCTGACCTCGTAACTCCATTTCTAAGAAGCTATCTTCTGGATATATCTGCACTCGTGTGCAAAGACATGCGTTGCAGCTTTATCTGTGGAAGCATTTAAAAGCTTCCTAACATATGCATGAGTGGGTAGATGAAGGAGATATAGCATCCATTTTGTAGAATATTATGCAGCCATTAAAAATAATGAGGTGCTTACATATATGAACACAAAGAGATTTGCATCACATTAAGTGGAAAAAAACCTAGAAAAATACCTACCTGTGATACCATTCACATAAAAACAAACCTATATTTGTGTACATTACATGTAATGGTATAGTGAGGGAAATGGAAATACATCATCAATGTAATAATTCTTAAGTGCTAAATAAAAGACATTTTCATGGAACTAAACCTAAGTCTATCCTGAAGTTTGTTCTGTGATTTGCATAGTCATGGAGTATGGGAAGCCCAAACATCTATAAAAGGCTGAATGCGATTAGTTATGTAAAAGGTACAAAATATTTAGATCTCATCTGTTTGGGAAAGGCTTCATCAAGGTAATATTCCAGGAAGGAGAAATAACACAGGGAAATATAGGGTGTCATAAAGGAATACAATGGTCCCATCTGGTTAGAACATAGTTTAATAAGAGATGAAATGGGGGTTGGGCACAGTGGCTGACGCCTGTAATCCTAGCACTTTGGGAGGCTATGGTGGAAGGATTGCTTGAGGCCAGGAGTTCAAGACCAGCCTGAGCAACATAGCAAGACTTGTCTCTACAAAAAAGAAAAATTAACAAGCTGTGACAGAACATGAACAGGGTCATTTGTGCCAGTGAAACATATTTCCTGCTTGAAAGGAGGTATCATGAGGCCAGAATGACAAAAGACATGTGCCAGTGAAACTCTTCTGATACTCTAATGGTAGACACATGTCATTAAACATTGGTCAAAACCCGCAGAATGGACAACACCAAGAGTGAACTCTAATGCAAAGCTATGGGCTTTGGAGTGAGATGATTACGCCCATGAAGGTTCATTTATTTTAACAAATGTGTTACTCTGCTAAAGGATGCTGACGGTGGGGAGGCTGTGTGTGTGGGGGGGCAGGGGGTACATGGGAACTCCATGTATTTTCTACTCAATTTTACTATGAATCTAAAACTGCTCTAAAAATTAAACTATTTAAAAAAAAGTCCATGTGCCAGTGTAGTGTTCCTTTCCTTCCTCTTCTTCACCTGGACACCTCCTTTAGATGCCAGGGTGACGGAACTGTCCTTTAGCACCTCTGCACCATGGCTTCTACCCAGCAATCAGATGACTTTGCTTTTGGTCCAAAGCT